GCACTTTTTTCCCACAAAACAGGGGGGTGGAAAGTCTGTGCGTCTTATGGAGCGAAGAAAACAGATTATATTTTCCTGTTTTCTTCTCCTAAAAAATTGGTGCGTCTTATGGAAAGGTGCGTCTTATGGAGCGAAAAATACGGTAAATAGGGACCACCATGGTGGGAAGGTAACAGCGTTCCGTGTCTAGTCGCGCTGGCCGCGTGACCACAGAAACTGTCTACGGACAAATGCTGGATCTGCAGCTTGGAAATGGGGATGAGAGCCACCCTCTAAGAGTTGGACACGGCTGTACTGAATGTCAAGGGGAACCTTTACCTTTATACTTCATTAAACATTCCTAAATATAACAATGATGAGATCTATACATTGTTTTCAGATGGTACAGTGGTTACTGCATAATATAAGCAGTAATTTTGTAAAAACAAACGTGCATTAAGTTAATTAGTATTCAGCTTATATATTTCTCTTCGCTGCTTGAACAATGCATGAAAATGCTGGCCATGTGAAGATGGAGGTGTTCTGTTCTGTGTTTGTTTATTGATGTATTGTGCAAAGTGGAACCAAACTGTTAAGAAAGACATCTTTAGGCAGTCAGAAATGGGCTGATCTGAATGAGTGAGGAAAGGGAGCAATCTAGTCCTACACTGGAGAGGGATAGTCTGAATAGGATACATCGCGTATGTATGGAGCACCTGTGTACAGTTCAGAGCCCTGATTTTTCAGAGTGTTGAATCACATGTAGTGGCGCATGTTCAGTAATCACTCTCCACAGGAAGAGAGTCAGACAGAATGGCAGAGGTATGAATGCTGACCCATTCAGATGAAAATGGTCCTGAATACCTGACTAGGGTATTCATAAAGTCTTTCTCCATGTGTTGAGTTCTGATTTCCTTAGTTAGTTTCTACATATATTGGTGCCACAGTTCCAAATGTAGCAGAGACTTTGAACTGGTGTTTGAAATGGTCATGGAGTACCCTTGTTTCCCCGAAAATAAGACGCAACCTGAAAGTAAGCCCTAGTATGATTTTTCAGGATGCTCGTAATATACAGTGGTGCCTCGCATAGCGATCGCTCCGTTTAGCGATGAAATCGCTTTGCGATGCATTTTTTGCGATCGCAAAAGCGATCGCTTTGTGATGTTCCCTATGGGGGAATTTCACTTTGCGATGATCGATCATTGCAAAGTGACCATTTTCGGCCAGCTGATTGGCGGTTTCAGAATGGCCGCCGGGGAAAAAACATGGCCGCCCGCTGTTTTCTGGGACGGATTCCTCGCTTAAGAGGCACCAGAAATGGCCGTGCCATGGAGGATCTTCGCTGAACAGTGAGTTTTAAGCCCATAGGAACGCATTAATCGCGTTTTAATGCGTTTCTATGGGCTTTTTTATTTTGCATTGTGACGTTTTCGTTCTGCAGCACTTTTGCTGGAACGAATTAATGTCATAATGCGAGGCACCACTGTATTAAATAGTTTTTTGTGTATTCTATATATGGCCATGTTTTCTCAGCAGTGTTGCAGATTATATACATATATCTAAGTAGAAAGTTTCATAAAACAATCCTCCCTTTTTCTGCTAATCTGTGCATCTACTTCAGTCTTGTTAAATGGAAATTCATTAATTTTGGCATATATTGTTGGAGGGATGTAAAGTAGGCATTTGAAATAAACAGGAATTTGGTAGAGTGGTTACTCAGTAAGTCCTTCTAGCTCCTCATTAGACTGTCTGCCTTTAATTTCTTTGTTATATATCATGTGCAAATAATTAGTAAAGATAAAGGTTCCCCTTGACAATTTTTCTCCAGTCGTGTTCGATTCTAGGGGGCAGTGCTCATCCCTGTTTCCAAGCCATAGAGCCAGCGTTTTTGTCCGAAGACAATCTTCCGTGGTCACATGGCCAGTGCGACTTAGACACGGAACGCTGTTACCTTCCCACTGAGGTGGTCCCTATTTATCTACACGCATTTGCATGCTTTCGAACCGCAAGGTTGGTAGGAGCTGGGACAAGCGACGGGCGCTCACTCTGTTACGTGGATCTTACAGCTGAAGATCTACAGACCTCACAGTACAGAGGCTTCTGCGGTTTAACCCGCAGCGCCACCACGTCCCTTAGTAGTCTGAAAAAGGAGAGAAAATGGGACATTCTGGGTCATACACTGTGTAGCACCTGTAAAAGGCTTAATGCTATCCTTCAAGGTCATCAGGTCTGCTTCTTCCTTATAGGCCATTGTTTTTCACAATATTGGATCAGTTTGGCATCACAAAACAAATGGCTTAATTGGTGCTAAATTGCTTTCTTTGTACTTGTATGTACCTACTCTATTGACTGGATAGCTGAGTGAGTTGGAGTAGCTGGCCATGAAGCCAGAAGTTTTGGAGCTCAGTTCCTCCACTCCCCGCGAAAAAGGTGAATCTCTGCTGAAGACAGGATATGGGTGGGTAGTTTTGCCACAGGTACAGTGTTTGTTCATTGTTTGAATAACTTGCATCTCAGTGTGTTACTTGGAAGATTGCTCATAGTGGTCAAGGACATGAGTTTCTGTCTGCCAGCTCCGTGACAGTAGAAGCCCTGGGAATCTGAGGGTTCTCTGTCTGTTTGCTTTGCAAGCGGCTTTCTGAATGCATGGAGAACAATGTCTACCAGTCTTACACAACAGTTCTGTAATTGTAGGTCTGTTCTGAAAGCCAAAAGAAAATAGACTCCTTTCCTACCCTGTTTGTAGTGCTTGCCTGTGCCTGGTGTGTCATGATGCCTCCCAGTCATTTTGTCTTGGTTTCATGAATAGAGCCAAAGAGTGTTGAAAGTATACCCTTTCCATTTGGTTCCTGGTGGAGTTCAGCAGGGTGACCAGCACTGACCTTTCAACAGGTGGTTGAACTGAAGTCAGATTAAACCTGATCAAGGCAAATAAAACATCCCAGAGCTCACAGCCGGTCGGTTCTCTGCAGCCCTGAGCTCCATCCATCCATCCTGCATTGTAGAAGGGAAAGTCCCAATGCATTTGTAAATTAAAATTCAGCGAGTCATTACTTTCGTGGTCACACGAAAATTGGGACTGGAAATTTGAAGAGTAGTCTCAATGGGAGTGCAAACTTTTCAGGATTCAAAAGGAGATGTGTGTGCTCCTGTCCCCTCCTCAAGGGTGAAGGCCTACCTGAGAGTCTACCTTTGGAAGGTAGGCAGCCACCATCCCAACCAGTTCCCCTCCGGCTGTTCTTGGACCACCAGGTTGCAGCACTTTCTGTCTCTCCTGTTGCATTGGCATTGGTAAACATGGGGGTGCTTTTCCTTGTTTAGCGTTCTTTAGACATCTACTTGCCCCCCTCCTTTTGTTGTTTCCAGCCCTCTTTTTCATTTTGTGTGGGACCACTCCATAATTCTCACAACCACATTGTTAAATGTTACCAGTCTACATCATCTCAAATTCAAAACTGGTTTTGATGTTTGAGACAACAAAACATGTTGTCATGTTGTCATGTTATTCTTCCTGTTCACAACTAGCGATGCAATATTTAGATATGAATATGAATATCCTGGATCCAGGTGGCCAGGATCTCCACTCCTGCTTACCCAAACCGACCTGTCCACTTACATGTTGTCAAGTAGCTCACACAGCCAGCATCCTGCTTGTTGCACCAATCTCTGACGTTGGCTGGCGCCTTCTCTGCCTTCCTGCACTTTGGGCCACTTGGAGCTGAGCGGGGAGACTCGTCATCCCACCCCCTTGGCTGAAATGACCAGAAGCGCAGGAAGGCAGAGAAGCAACAGCTACATCTAAGATTGACACAACGAGCAGAACGCCAGCCCTGCGCACTGTACAGTGATCTGTAAGTGGCTGGGTTGGTTCCAGGAGGTGGGATATTCGTACACAAATATCCCATCTCTATTCATAACTAAAAGGAAGTGTATAACCATTTGAAGGATATATGACTGGATATCATGACAATCTTAGTGTATTTTCTGCAACAGTGGGTGAAAGATGTCTTCCTTCCTTAGGGTGAAGAGCAGAGTAAGGTCCTCTGCATCGAGTAGCTTCCCTGTCAGTGAAATATGGGACCATCCAGCCTCAGAATTAAGATGGGGGATGGTTTTGTTTGCACCACAAAGATGTTTCTGAGTTCTGTGTTTCATGTCTTTTTCCTCAATAAAAGTCCATGGTGCCCAGTCACTTAACATGAGAAATATTCATGTGAAGATTGACATCTTGCTGTGTCTCTAATTTTTCTCTTCTTGTTCAAGGGACAAAGCGGAGACTTTGAACTGGTGTTTGAAATGGTCATGGAGTACCCTTGTTTCCTCGAAAATAAGACCTAACAAGCCCTAGTATGATTTTTCACGATGCTCGTAATATAAGCCCTACCCCCAAAATAAGCCCCAGTTAAGTGAAACCCTGCCCCCCCACCATGGTGCAGCAACCAGTAGAAGATGTCATGACTGTATTTGAATAAATGTAGATTGTTGTACATTTATTTTATTATTGTAGATTGTTGTACATTACAGTTTATTATTTAAAAAATAAAACATCATCTGAAAATAAGCCCTAATGCATATTTGGAGCAAAAATTAATATATAAGACCCTGTCTTGTTTTTGGGGAAACACGGTAGGTGGAAAATGGGGTGGGAAATTACATGAATTTAATCCAAATAATCTGCAACTTCTCAAGTTACTTGCCAACAGCTGTTTTTGGTAGAACTGATGGGAGATGTAGGTAAAAAGAGTTGTGTGTCCTTTTCTGTTCTTGTAACTGGAGAGTAAATAGAGTCGATAGGGTGGGTAATTCACAAATCAATTAATTTGATGATTAACCTACTGCATAAGTGAGCTCCCCATGTTTAATGTCACTGATGTGAAAGCTTTCTTAGAAGTGTATTTTGGGAGTACACAGAGGCTTTGCTTCTGTTTTCGTTTACACTTAAACAAAGAACACAACAGGTTGTTCATCTCAGGATGATGAGAGGAAAGCAAGCATTTTAGTATTTTCTTCCTTCTTCGCAGGACAGTGGCAGCTGAAGTGAGGAAGCAAGTGTCCCGAGACTATGGCAATTCCCCCCAGCTTTCCAAGAAGCGGGGCATCCCACAGTCGGTGAGTACTTATTATCATTATCATTCATCATCTTAGAACTGAAGAACTGGAAGGAATTGTCAAATCCAGCCCCTGTGAATTGGCGGACTGTGCCAGAAAATATCATAGCACCTGGCAGATAAGATGAGGAAGGGAGCCTGGATACCTAAAGAAGACAGACAACCTATCAGAGTCCCTGTCTGGGAACTACCAGTTGCACAGTATTTGGGAAATGTAGCCTATAGCAGAGGCAGCAATTTTATTCACCCCTCTGGAAATACCAGGGATCACACCTGCAAGGATGGCCTCCTTAGACTCTCCTCATCTCTAGTAAATTGTTGCTAAGGCACTGCGGATGTGCCTGGGCTGCTGCTTTTATTCTCATTTGGGTGCACTTTCATTGTGGTTCTGCACACACTTAATCTGAGGCCCCTTTTTTAGCATGGTAGGGACGTAGGGCAAGCACGGACAGCTCCCACCGCTTTGATTTCCTTTGAAAATGATGGTAGGACATAAATGGTTTCGACTGCTCCTCAAGTTCACATGTATTCCAAGTCCTGGAGGAGCAGACCTTCAATAATGGAAGGGCCAGTGCAACTGGTGATGAGGGTGTGTGTGAGGCTGAGCTGGGTTCTTGTCCCCCCAGCCCAGCCCAGCCCAACCCAGCTGCTTTTCTTTTGCGTCTTGGTTGGCTCATCGGCCACCATTTGCTGACCCCTGCTGGACATAGTTTGCATGGAGGAAAGATATGAAAGGAGCATAGTGTTGTTGGGTTTTTATTTAGTGAACAGAAGCTGTTTCATCTCCTGAATCTGCTAGATTTGTCTGTTCTTTATGAATGTGCAAAGGACCAGAACAGCTGCAGAGTTGTACTGTGATTTCTGGGCTTCAGCTATGATGAGCTTCTGTTGTCTTAAATGCTGCTGGGTTTCTACTCAGTGTTGAACGTTCAAAGCCCTGCTTGGGGCGAGGGGGGGGGAGCGTGTTCAAAGCAGCTGTCAGGAATGTTGGGAAGGATGGGTTGGTTTTCCAGCTCCCAAGAGTGGAAAAATATGGAACAAAAAAAAATCACAAGTCAGGCTTGGCTGGAAAGATGTGGATGCTTGTGAAAGGATCTACGTGGCTGCAGAGACCTCTTTCTTGGTATACGTGCCACACACAAACACACCATTCTTGTAGGTCATTGCTACTGATGCTTTGCCCCACTTGAGGTCATTCATCCTCTAGCCTTGAAAGAATTAAAAGTATTCCTTCGTGCTATTTCAGAATGCCGAGAAATAGTCAGAAACGGAGTTCCTGCTTTTCAGGAAAAGCCTATGTGACTTGTTTTCTTTTTGTTTCGTTGGCTGGTAGTTTTTTTGTGGGTGGGGGTATTTTTTTGGTCGTCTTTCTTGCCCAGCAACACTGGGACAGTAAAGAATCACGGCTCCTGGCATTCCAAGTGGATGTAATTTGCCAAGTGGGAAAGAGAATCGTTTGCCTTGACTCCTCTTGCCATTTGTCAGAAGAACAAATGCTTTTGTTTTTCGGCAGCTTTCCAAGCGGTCTGCGTGGCATGCCAAGTTGTGATTGTGTCTCCAGAGAGGGAAGAATCCTCCTTGCAGCAGCTGTTTCCCCTGGCTTCACTCTGAACAATAGTGTTTCAGCAGCTCCAGAATTCTTTGAGACCCATTTTCACTGTAATGGTTGAAAAGCGGTGCTTGGCCTGGTTGAGGGCTGGGAGACGAGTAATGCAGGAGCGGGTGGATGGTCAGAAGTTGGAGTAAATGATTCCTCCAGGAGTGGTAGAGGGGGTGAATCTCTGACCCAAGGCTAACATCCAGCTTCTCACTCTCACCTTTCCCCACATCCCCCCCCCAATATATATGGATAAGAGGGGAGACAGACCCCCTGCGGTTGTTTATACATAAGGGCAGTGCAGCTCTGAAGCAGCCAGCTGAGAACGTGTCTCTCTTTCTTCTTTTCTCCCCTTAGGGAGAAGAGGTGTCAGGTTCGAGCCCAGGGGTCAGGAGTATTTGCCCACAAGGTCAGCCCCCCTGGGGCCCAAATGCAAACTCAGCAGTCTCTGAGACTCTGCAGGGGAAAAAAAACACCCTCTGGGGAAAATAGGCTTTAAAAGTCTTCTTGTATGCTCTCTAGCAGGTGTGTGTGTGGGGGTACCCAGCACCCTGAAGCGAGTGTTGTTGGGAGTATGTGCAAATTCCTCTCCCCAAGGATGGGCCTCTGTGGTCTCTGCCTCTGTGGAGGTTGGCCACTCCTGCTCAAGTGGTTGCTTTAGCTAAGAAGGTTGGCGTCCTGGTGGCTTTGCCCTTTCTGTCACTGTGCTGTGGGAAGGGTCAGTCCTGAAATGGTTAAGATGATGAGCACCTTCCCCTTCCCCCTGTGTTCTTGCTGTCTTTTAAAATGGCAATACCACGGCAGCGACACACACTCAGCTCAGGGAATTAGCTGTAGTCAAGACCTGGTTCTCAAATAAACCATGAAGAGGAATGCTAGGTAGGATATATGTACATCTATGGGAGAGGCAGAAATCAGTCGTGATTTTAATGGGATAAAATCTAGAAGAAGAATTGCCTGCAGGTATTTGGATGGGGCTAGGGAGGATGCTGGAGGATGATGAATAGCAATGAATGTAAAAGGTAACTGTAATGTTTAGAAATAGTCTGTGGCGTGTTACTCCTTGCAAAATCAAGGACATACCTTGGATAAACCGTAAGAAGTGATGGAGATATAGTGTAATCATACATGAGCAGCACATTTTACTGATACGTTTTGGTGTTATGCAAAAATAAAACTCCTTGAAAATCAGTGTTGAATACAACAGATGAGAAGGAGGTCAATCTCTGCTAGATGTCAAATCAAGCCTAAATTCTCACTGGAAACTAAAATAGCTAAAATTAAGGGTATCATACTTTGCACATGTCATGAGAAGATAAGACTCCCCGGAAAACACAAATAATGCTAGCAAGATTTGAAAGGAGTGAAAAAAGAGGCAGACCAAATGGGAGATGCATTGATTCAATAAAGGAAGGCATGGCCTTTCGTTTTCAAGACCTGTATTTAATTCAGACAAGACAGAGGAGTTCCTGGACAGTCAAAAGACAGGTCAGGGAACAGGGATTCAGCCTATGCTGGAAGGGGTTACGCCCCCCCTGATAATTCAGGATCACAGCTTGGTTGTACTCTGAACTCATCCCAGAGCCCGGACGCTCAAGTCTTGGCGATGGCCGGGACTGCATTTGCACAGTTAAAATTGGTGCATCAAGTGTGCGTGTTCTTGGAGGTGTCTGATTTGGCTATGGTGACATGTGCCTTAGTTCCATCCTTCTTAGATTACTGCAACATGCTCTACATGGGGCTGCCTTTAAAGGTTGCAGCCAGGCTGCTGATTGGGTTCAGTTACAGGGAACATATCGCTCCCTTGTTACAGTGGCTTTGCTGACTGCTGGTCTGTATCTGGGCCCAATTCAAAGTGCTGGTGTGCCCTATATACTCTGGGTGCAGGCTATTTGAAGTATGTATAATCCTTCTGAGTAGTTAAGATCTTCAGTGGAGTCCTTTCTCTCAATCCCATCACCTTCAGAAGCATGTCTGGTACGGAAATGAGAAAGGGTCTTCTCTGTGGCTGCTCCGAGGTTCTGGAAAGCCTTGCCCTGGGAGGCTAGATTTTCCTCCTCCCTCTTGTTCTGTGGTCAACAGTTGAAGACTTATTTTTTAGAGAATTTTTAATGGCTAATTGGGCAGGTTTTGATTCTGTGTGCTGGTTATTATTAGTATTTTATGGATGTTTTTAATGGTTTTAAATATGTTTTTAACAGTTTAAACTAGTTGTTTCAGTATTGGTATAACTGTTTTATAATGTTATAATTTGTTGTGGTTTTAATTAGTTCATTGTTTTTAATAACTTGTGACCCACCTTGGGTCCCTTAATTGGAGAAAATCAGCATAGAAATGTAAATGAATGAATGACGTGCTACCTACTCTTAAAGATTTATTTCTTCCAAGGGTTATGAGAGCAGCTTTCACTTCATTTTCTGAAATTGAAGGTTCTCCATCCCATGATTCTTTATTGAAGGAATCAGTTATCCTTGCATTATCATAGTAAAATTGATAAATACAATCCAAAATAGTGAGACATTTTTTGGAGTAAATAGTTTCTTCATTCAGTCATCTGCGGCATTTTCAGAAGAAGGAAGTTACTGGCTTATATACCTTTCTAGTTCTGAATTCTCTGCTGACTTAGTCTGAGCTCAGTTCTTTACAGCCAGCCCCTATACAGGGCATGCAGGCTTAAGATACCTGGTTCTTTACATCCTCTTTTAGCCTCCTCTTTTTCAGTCCACCAACTCCCTGTATCAACATCATAATTGAGTTCCAACCTTGAATGCCAATGCTGGCACTTTGTTTAGAGCGCCCCAGAATTGTGGCCATTCAATTAACAATAGTAGATGGCCTGTGTTGGAGGTGGGGGCAGATTCAGACTGTAATCCACCACTGTTCACACTGAAATAAATTGATTAGTTTCAAAGGTTCCAAAATACTTGTTTTGTTTCATTTCTGTGATACATTTTGAAGGAGACGGATAAGGCTAACTCTTTTAAAACAATTTATGTGATTTATAGCCCATACAGGAGCCCAGGGTAACAAGCAACCATAGTTGAGCCAAAGTTCATAGTTAAGATTGTAATGAAAATAACTCCTGTAAATCTATTGGAATTGTCCTTTATGCTTGAGATCTCTGGCAGCACAGCTGCACTGGAGGTTTTATGGGGCAGTGAAGCAGTGAGAAAGCTTCCTTTGAAAGTATGAAAGCCAAAGTCAAGCCATATATGTGGTGGGAACTTGCAGAGGTTTTTTTTTTTTTTGTAAAAAAGAGATCTGAGCAGAAATCAAGAAAACTAGTTCTTATTTTACAAAGTACATTAGGTACAGTATCAATAGAACCTTAATTTGATGGTGCTGGCAAGTTTTGGAAGGCTGCATAGTTTATTTCAGACAGCCCTTTCATCTTCTCTTAACTGTGATGACACCTTGCCTTCTCGACTTTATTATTACTCCCTCATTAATGAGTAACAGCAAGCTGTAGCCAGTGCTCCTTTCTGACCTGCAGGTCCCTCTTGCATCATTTCTCTCTTGGTCCTCCCTAACCCCCCACCCCTGCACCCTCCCCCCAGGTGCCTCTGACAGAAGTAGTGGAGCCGGTAGAATTCGAGGAGTACCTTGCCAGCCACCTGCCGGATGCTGAGCCTGGCCCGCTTCGTGACCTGGTTGACTTTCCTCCTGATGATCTGGAGGTGGTCCATGAACCTCGGGATTGTCGGACCTTGGAACCTGGTGTCCCTGAAGATGGGTAAATGGTGTTAATAGCAACTGTGGATAGTGAATATTTTGATACTGGGAACAGTTCTCTTTTTTTCCGTTTTTTCTTTCTGTATTATTATTATTATTATTATTATTATTATTATTATTATTATTATTATTATTATTTTCTTCTTCTTCTTCTTCTTCTTCTTCTTATTATTATTATTATTATTATTATTATTATTATCATCATCATCATCATCATCATCATCATCATCATCATCATCATCATCATCATCATCATCTGCTTCTGTTTACATTTTCAAGGTTTTGCTGTAGTAACCCTTCAGCTCAGGATGGAGATATACAAAGACAAAGGGTCAGATAGTCCATGGGTATTTTCTATATTAGAACTTGCCCGTTTTCTGCTGCTTAACAAGCAGTGGTTTGCCTTTCAAGCAGGAAAGGAAAGGGCAGGGGAAACCTGTTCAACAATGTGATAAGTAAAATTTTATGGGTGGGGGTGGTCCTCAAATTAAGATCTTGCTGTTCAGAAGCCAGTCTTTAGATGAGCAAATCCTAAGGTCAGTAGCTTACAGGAGTTAGCTTCCAGTTTGCATCTAATGGGAGAAGGTATTTAGGGTTTTGTGACATGTATGGGAGAAAAGAAAATCCAAGGAGATTTATCTGTTTTAATAAAGGTATGGATGCAAAACATGTGAATAAAAGCTTCATTGTAAATTAGCCTTGCAAATATGTCTCTGGGCATCAGTAACTTGTGAACATTTTCACTGGTCAGCAGGGCAGATTTGATTTAAATCAAATTGATTCAGGTCACAATGTAATTCATTACTTAATTTTTCAATTTTTTTAATGATTTTAATTTAAAACCATTATTTTGTTTAAACGTTGATTCAAATCAATTGATTATCCACTCTGCTAGTCAGCCTCATGTGTCTACAAAGCCTTCTCCGTCATCTTTTCTTCCAGGAAACAGGATGCCCGTGTACGAGATGCTGTCCAGGTCTACACGGAAGACTGGGTCATTGTCCAGAGGAAGTAGGTTTGGTAACTCAGCCCTCTTCTTGTGATACGTTGTTGTGGGTTGAATGACATACACCGAGTTCTCCGAGTCTCTACTCGGAGAAAAAGCACATCACTTGAGGAGTGTCTGTCCAGAGGAAGTAGGTTTGGTAACTCAGCACTCTTCTTGTGATATGTTGTTGTGGGTTGAATGGCATACACTGAGTGTCATCATCTGTCTGTGAAGGGGCTTGAGGAACACAGTTGCTCCCAGGGGGCCAGGTGGTTCCCTCAGACCAATACAGTGGGCCAGATGCAGTCAGAGAGCAAGGCCCTCTCTGAAGCTCGACTTCCTGATACCATCCAGCCCATTGTTCCTTCTCACAGAGAATGGCACCGAGCTTTGTTCTCCTCTACTCGGAGAAAAAGCACATCACTGGAGGAATGGCCCCTTTAGGTATTAGTCAAGAGACGTTTGCCTGCAGGATAGCAAATATTGGGAGAAGGATTTAGGCAGGCAGCCACCTTTGCTTTGCCCCAGATGCTCATTGAGTTATGCACCAGCTCTCGGGCCTATTGATTGCTCCAGTTGGCCTGGCAAGGTGGTGGGAGGGAGAAGGAACTTGGCTGGTGCCTGAAGAAGCTACAGTTCCAGGTGGAACTTGAGTCCTTCCTGGCTTCACTCTCACGGTCTCTTCCCTGGCAAGGAAAGTCCACCAAGGAATAAATTGTTGGGCAGTCAGGTGTGCTCCTTGAGGCTTCTGCTGAGTCCCCAGAAAATTCATTTGCCACTCTCATCCTATGGTCGGTTGTTCTCTTGCTTCCTCTCCCTTCTGAGATGGAGGGGTTCAGGGCGTGCCCACATTTGATGCCCCATGGGGGTCTTTCCTGTGTGTCCGATGTGGCCTGCAAGCTGAAAGTGCCACATCTTTTACTAAAATAAACTCACGTAATTTATGTTTGTCAGCTGAGCTTTGTGCTTCATTGTTTAATGCAGTTAATTGTATAGTGGCTTTTCCCAGCTCTTTGCTCCTCCACACCAATTGTTTTTTACATCTGTCTCATTGAGTCCTCACTGAGGAGCAAGAAAAGCCAAAGAGGGAGATGGGCAAACTCTGAAAACATGTTAGAGAAGCTCCTTTGAACCACTTTGGAGTAAACTGTTTGCTATTTACTTAATAGTGCACTGAAGTCTCTGTCAAGGCTTTTTTGGTGCATGTTATACACACGACCATAGATGCTCAAGTATTTTTAGCAGCTGTGTAATTATTGCCTGCACAGACACCCAGGGATAGATGAGTTCTTTCTCTCTGACGTGCCATCATCATTGCTCTGGGTAACGGCATGTCAGCCTTGCTTTCCAGGAGCCTTTCACACAGAACTCACTCTGTCAGGCAAGATAGACCTTGGCTTCTGCCTAATAAGCATTTCATCGCCCCACCTCGTACCCTGTGATGGATGACTTGCCTCACTCAATAGGCGATTCCAATTGATTTCAGCATGCTTTGACCAAGGGAGTGCATCCGCTGTTGTTGACAGAGTGGGTGACATCAGAGGCAGTCATGGCTTCCTGCCCTAGCTAAGCATCACTTTCAGATGTTCTGCTTTCAGCATATAATGAGTGATGCTCTTTGCAGCCCAGAGCAAGGCCAGTGCCAGCCACACCTTGCTCCAACAGTACAGAAAGCGAGCAAACAACTAGGTCAGCTGTTACGTGCTCTACTAGGATTAGGCTGGTTGGGGGGAAGGTGTAAGTTTGTTCTGGCCACAGTTGAATGTTGCCACAATGGAGATTTGCCACTTTTGATTTGATCTTGTCCAAAATAGTAGCTTTCCCAGGCTTTGCTTTGGCTATAGTAGCAGAAAAATGCATACCGGAGTGAGCTGGAATCGCCTTGCCCTCTCTCCCAGGCCTCTTCCACCCTTGGGTTGTTCCAGTGGATACTCCCAATATCCACTGAGAAGTTAGCTATTAGCTATAGTTCCCCTATTTAGTGGTACGGGACTCTTAGGATAGCACAACTATGAAAATGAGATCCTTTCTTGAATAACATAGATATCTTCTTTGGCACTGCTCTAAGTGCAAAGCTAATAAAGACCCTATCTAGAAGTTGATAATCTTTAGTTGCCTTGGAATGTCTAGTAAAATAAGGCATGGCATGATGACATCTTTTTTCACTTTCTTAAGTAGAGACCCCACTGTATTAGCTACAGTTCCCCTATTTAGTGGTACGGGACTCTTAGGATAGCACAACTATGAAAATGAGATCCTTTCTTGAATAACATAGATATCTTCTTTGGCACTGCTCTAAGTGCAAAGCTAATAAAGACCCTATCTAGAAGTTGATAATCTTTAGTTGCCTTGGAATGTCTAGTAAAATAAGGCATGGCATGATGACATCTTTTTTCACTGCCCCCCAAATGCAAATTGTCAGAAGCTGTTTGCAGAGAGGATGCTGCATCCTGCCCATGGTTATGCCATGTCACATTTATTTCACTGCATGTTACTGAGGAGGTAGGCCCTTGGGGGCACACATGGGGAAAGGTGGCCTTTTAGCCCTTCTGTGTCTAGTTAGGCCTCAAGAAGGAGTCAAGAGTGATGCATATAGCCCAGAAGGCATCGGTGCTTGTTTTTCCGCAGGTAGTGATATTAAGATATCTATGAAGATTCTTAGTCATCCAGGTGTGGTTATCTGGAAGTGGACTTCTTTCTTGTTAGGTTGAAACATTTTGCAGCTCATCCAAGTAGCTTCTTCAGTCTGAGGAGAGATGGTAGGAGATCCCTCCATGCTGGTTCCAGTTCCCAATGATCTCAATAGGCTTGTTAGAAGGACAAAGGACTGGGAGTGAGGGATGATCCCACTTCTGCAGTCCTTCTCCACCCATTGTCACTATTAATATCATTATTAAGTGTGCATATGAAGTAAAAAGAAAAAAGAAACTCCACTCTCCACAGTCATGTGGGTTCACCTTCAACTGGTGCCAAGCATTTCTCTATGCCACTTTTCAACAAATATTTCAAAACCATTTATCTAGGAAAACAGGGCAACAGTAGAACCTGAATGTTTTAGAACTGATCAGCTCACCAATTTCAGGACCTTGTGGTTAATTCTTTTGTTTGCTGGCTCAAACGTCCCCTTCGTCTCCCTCCAGGAATTGTGCAGCACAGGCAACTTCTGCTCAGGTTGCCATGCTTGCATTAATGTGTGCACTTCCTCTAGTAGGAAAACCTGCTCTCGCAGCTGAACCTGTCTTCTGTAGTCTTAGAATCATGAAGTTGGAAGGGGCTTATAAGGTCATCAAGTCCAACCCCCTGCTCAATGTAGGAATCCAAATCAAAGGATGTCTGCCAGGTGGTTGTCTAAATTTCTCTTGAATGCCTTCTGAGGTAATTGGCTTCACTGTCGTACTGCTTTAACAGTTAGGAAGTTTTTCCTAATATTCAACTGAAATCTGGCTTCCTGTAACTTGAGACCATTGTTGCATGTCCTGTACTCTGGGATGATTGAGAAGAGATCCTCCCCCTCCTTTTCATGATAGCCTTTGCACTCTGGGATAATTGAGAAGAGATCCTCCCCCTCCTTTCAAGTATTTGAAAAGTGGTATCATATCTCTCCTCAGTCTTCTTTTCTCAATGCTAAACATGCCATATTATTAGTTAAGGCTAAATATGCCACATTAGTCATAGCCATGATATTATTTCTTTTTAGATTAAGTGCTGTACAGTTCTATGAACCCTTCACAGAAAGCCGAGCACCCCCTTTAAAGAGAAGGATGTGATTGTCTGTCAGTTGTCCTCTGCATTCATGCTGCCTGTGTCATTCATCCTTAGCAATCAGTAACAACCATTCTTACCGTCCTTGTTTAGGTACCAAAAGTTGAGCACCATGTACAATCCTATTACTACTGAGAGACAGAGGGACAGGCAGAAAGGGCAGCCTCGGCAAGTCTTTGAGCTTGATGAAGTAGCTGAAGAGCGGAATAATCAGGCGGATTCGGTACGTCAAATCAGCATTGTTGGTGTCGTTTGCTGGATCAGCTGATTTTATGTTCTTTATTGCCAGCCTGAGCTAAGGGGTTGCAGTATGTTTCTTAGTCTATTTTTCTTAATTGAGAGAGAATCACTTGGTTTCAGAATATAAGATTCAGTCTGTGACTCTTGGACAACTAGTAATGTGATCTTTCTTCATATCGGAGTGTTGCACAATTCAGAATCATAGAGGTGTGTGAAATATAGACAAAATCAAAAACCAATTAAAATGTCAAGACAATCAGATTATGTTTGACCAGAAGTGGCCAGAGCTTTGGATGTGTGCATAAACTTTTCCTTGACCTCAACTGTCGTCCGGGGGTTCGATGTCCATGAAGTTCAGTGCTGTTCCAGTGCATCGCTTCTTGAAGTGTTGTGATACACAAAAAGGCTTCTGGATGTGTTGCGACATTTCTAGATTTGTGCTCTTGACAAAGAGGGATTCAAGTTCAGATGTATCAGCAGTATGTTGGACTGATCTCTTTGATTTTAATTAAGGATTTAGAAATTCCACATGTAATAACCACATTTCTGAAAAGCTGGCTATGTGCTGAAAACCTGTTTTTTTTTGTTTTTCATTGTTCCTCCCCATGTGTTTTGGGAGTGTAGGCGAGTGAACTATGAATGGAGAAGGAGGGAAAAAAAACCCTTTTGTTGCTTTGCATCAAAAATGTAGGCAGAAATCCACGTAAACCTCAGACTTATTCCAGTAACTGAAAATACAGGCGACATTCAAAGGTCATAGTTTAAAAAAGAAATGTGTGCATTTTCTGAGGGAAACTTCTGAGAAATAAATTCTTCAGAGCTAAAATAGGGTGGGATTGCAGAAGATGCCTGGATTGTGGCCCGAGATGGAACAGGAAGGTTTGAGTTCGCGTCTTCTCCATCATTGTTTGCCCTTCAACAGCATGGAAAGTGCTTGACAGGATGCATTCTACTAAGAGGGGTCTACATGAATTCTATTTTTATTTGTAGAAATCTTTGGGAATTGATTACTTCACGTAATTCTCATAATTAAAGCTTAATTTAAGGGGAAATCCTTCCCCCCCCCCTTTTTTTGGAAGATAAATCTAAAGTGTAAAATGGCAGAATGGAAGGAAAGGCATGGGAGAAGAGGAAAGCATATCATTCAGCAAAGGAAAGTCTGCTTCCCCAAACATAAGAGTGAGACTGTGTGATTGTCATATTTAGTATATGGTCCCATGACCAGGTGAGGATGTGGATAATGGACAAAATGGCCGTCTATCATTAGTAATCAAATAGGCGATAGGGCAGTAAATAAATTCAGTTACTAGTCTACAAGGTAACAATAGCATAATTGACGCAGATGGCAAACTGAGAATGAGTGTAGGATTTTGCACTTCATAATGACTTAAGAACCCTTAATTGATATTCAGTCCTTTGAAGTGGGTCTCCAGCATCCTTATATACCTCATCTCAGCTGTTTCTCTTTCGGCTTTGTAGTGTTCCCCCCCCCCTCAAAATGGTGACTTTCAAGTCATTCAAAGAGTGTCCAGATAGACTGAAATGTTCTGAAATAGGTTCTTGTCTGCATGGTCTGTGCCCCTTTGTTTGAAGAACTGGGGTGTGAAATCCAAACTACAGCTGCCTCAGCTGTAACTTTAAAACAACACCCATACTGCCTCATCTTAAGACAGATGCATCTTGCCAAAAAGTTTACATCTAAGAGTCACCTACCTCCTGGTAAACCTCATCTTGTCATGAACATTTGGACTTTTGGTACTTGCTTTGAAGAAGTGAGATTTGACCACGAAAGCTTGTGTATTGTATGTTTTTTTTCTTTTTTATTAGTGGACTATAAAGGCATTGCCTATTCTTGCATCAGTTCTTGTGTGTTGCCGTTCCTGATGCCAAATTAGAATCCATTAATTCTTCTGCATAGAGATTGCCCTATTTGTCGTCCATAGAGTGCAGAAGGGAAACTTATCTGCTTCAGTTGGCAGCAGAAGCTGAAATAAAGGAGCCAGCAAAGCAGGCCAGCAAAGCTTTATGCCTTGATCCTCTCTAGCTTTTAAGTTATCTACAAATTGTCATAGATGAAGGCCATCAAAAGAATCTGAGTCCCATGGTTAAGCTACGTTGCTGTAGCGGAACATGTATATTTCTAAACCTGCATTTCTTGAGAGAAGGTAAAGGTGGGAGGACCCTGTGTAGGACAGAATTGGTGGGGCTAGGAGGAATGTTTAGATCATTCAGTCTCCCTTGCAGAGCCATCCAACATTTTCATCTTTACCTGGGTTATGTGGGAGGGGGTGGAATTTTAGAGAAGATTGGTAGAAGGGAGCTCCTTGCAAATCCTTGCACTTGTGCATTATTTGGGGGTGGGGGCAAGTGTTCTGGGTAAAACAGACTTGAGAACATCATCATCTTCCCATTAGAGACACAGGATTCCAGACAATGTGACAGACTGTGTCAGTTATACCCATTCATCCTTGTCTTGTTGGCCTCCAAAATGCAAAGCCTTTTGTGGTATAGACCATTTCTACGGAAATTACTTTCAAGGCAATCAGGATTCTAGTTCCCATGATTGAATGGGAAAAGGGAAGTAATACCCAACAAAATTTTGAACCCAATTAACTGCTATTATGTGTAGCCTAATGAAAGACAAGGGGGTATACAGAAGAGATTCCCTTCAAACTCTTATGGAAATTATAACGTGTTAATTCTTGCTAGGCTGTGTATATCAGAGGTATGCAAGTGTATGCGTGCTGGTGCTCTTGGCCTACAACACTGATTAGCCCTTGCCAGCACAGACGGGGAAAGGTGTATTATGGGAATTGAAGCTCAACATCTGGAGGGCCACAGTTACCCCTGCTGTGCATGTGGTCTCATCTAGCAGCTGAAGAGAAGGCAAGGCCAGCAGGAGGCAGAAAATGACACTGTTTTGGCTGGTATGTTTGCACTAACATTGCACTTCCTTTTGCAGCCACATGTGCTGAGCAGGTAAATCCTTTGTGTTGGTTGGCATTTGCTCAATGCTCTCAGAAGTTTGCTGTTGCCACCAGGAGGAGCGGTGGTGGCTGTTTGTGAGGCCTTGCGGTGGGTCACCTCTCAAAGCAGGTTCTCTCTGTCCCTTCCAGGATGACCTGAAACGCTGCTCTGCCTCCTTGGATGATACACCCCGAGGGAGCTGGGCCTCCAGCATTTTTGACCTCAAGAATTCTGCCGCTGACTTCTTGTTGCGCTCGCTTTTGGTGCGCACTGCCATTGAGGAGACAGACCGCACCAATGAGGAGCTGCGGAAGAAGAACCGACACAGTGAGATTCTGGCTCTTTATCCCGCTCCTGATGAGGTGAGCCCAAGACCCAGAGATCCTGTCAGCCTTTTGTGGAATCCTGTAGAGCCCAAGAGATGGCAGTGTGTTCAACTGTGGACTTAGGGAGCTTGCCAGAATATACAGAACTGGTTGTGTGGAGAATGCGACACACATGCCGCAATGACGATGCGTATTTGGTCAAGAGAAGAGTGGTTTGATCAGAAAAGGGGAGCAGGAGTGGGGTTGAGACCATATGAAAAAGTGCCTAAAGCAGGGGCACGCGGTCTGTGCCCACACCGTTTTCCCCAACCCTTGTGGGCTGCGCCCACACCATTTCCCTGAAACCTGAATTGACTGAAAGGTCACTTGCAGGTTTTTGTCGCCTCCCCCTTTATGTAAATGGATCAGAGGAGGTAACCATTAAACGAAGAGTTGTATCTGCTGGAGGCCTAAATCTCTGGTTTTGGTCACCTCTTTGGCAGCCAGCTTTTAAGAAGGCCCTCTGAGCATGCATGCATGCATGCTAGGCTCAGGTTGCAAAATGCCCACCTCTGGATGAGGGGCAGGACCTGTGGGAGGTAGTTTTCCTTGGCTCTCAGTTCTTCTTCCGAGGTCTCCTCTGTCCCAGGCCATTCCCGTTAGAGCTGTCGTTGTTCTGAGCCGTTCTGCCAGCATTTTCCCAGCGGCAAACCCCTGATGGCAGAGTTGGCGTGTTTCCATTTCCTTCCTCAGGATGAAGCCGTCGAGCGCTGCGGCCTCCCAGAAGTTCCGAAGGAGCACTTTGGGCAGAGGATCTTAGTGAAGTGTTTGTCTCTGAAGTAAGTCGGCATTCAGTAGAATGGCCGTGGAGCCATCAGGACATACCCGGAGCGCATGCATTAGGTCAGGGTTTTGTTTTTGTTTTGTTTTTGCTTCAGGATGGGATGTTGGAATGGGGTGGTTGTCCATGAGGGGTGGGCCTTTCATATTGCAACAAAGGGGGGGGCAGACCAAAAAAGCACCTAGCTTTCACTTTTGTATTCGTTTCATCCCTTCCCAGTAGAGAGTCTCCCTGAAACAAAATGGCGGCTGCAATAGCCATGCTGACTGAAAAGATGGCAAAAGAGGATTAAAGATACTCCTACTCTACTCCCCACTCCAGATATTTCCTGTTTGTTTCCAGTAAGCAGTGAATGGAGGGTAGCTCAGCCACTGCGACCAGGATGTTCCAACCTATCCCAGTAGTGTAGGATGCAGGTTTTTGAATTTTTAAAATAGAACTCCCTCTTAATAGAAACATTTAGATAACTAGCGCCACCTCAGGCAGAGGTGGAGGCCAGCAAGCTGCATTCCTTTGCTCCTTCCCTGCCCATTTTTAAAGAGGTTCTACAGACTGCCACCTCGGTCCCTTCCCGGCTGTGAAAGGCCACTTTTTTCCACAGCCAGATTCCAAATGCTGGGGCCAGGGTAAGAGGAATGATCCCTCACATGTGAGGCAGCGGCTCATCCTGACAGCTTCTGCCTGGTGGTGGTGGCAGCGGCTTCATTACCACCACCAGCAGTGAGAGCAGCAGCTGGAGGCAGAGTTTGCTGCTGCTTGCCACACAAGCTTCCCCTGGGTCCTATCACCTCCTGCCTGCCATTCCTAGTAGGAGAACAACAGATCTATGCAGCTCAGTGGCAGTGGCAGCCACTGAGAAACCAGATGCTCCAGAAGTTTCCCAGTGTTCCCAGCGTAGTGTCAGGAGAAGCTCCTCCCCTGCAAAGCATTCCAGCCAATACCACTGAAGTGTTCTCTAAGCCGGTCCTTCACCTGCCTACACCCACCACCCCAATGACAGCAGCCCCTTTCTCTTCCTCCCCTGGGCAAATGACGTGCGGTTCAAAACATGAAACCTAGGAACCCTAGAGAGGCCATCCTCTTTGGGTCACCTTTGCTTGGCTTTGGCAGTTGATGGAGAATGCGGACAGTGTTGTTGATCCCTTGCACATCCTTGGCAGTCCAGCCCATAGAATCCGCTCCAGGCACACGGCTTATGCCGTCCATGCCTCTACTCAGTGTATGTCCCTGGCAGTGTTTGGAAATTGGCCACGTGCAATTGTAAACTTTCTCAAAGGTGTTTTATAAGCCGTCTATCTGGGTGTAAGTGGACCTTAGCTGTGAGCACGTAGCTACCATCAGGCTGATAGCAGAACAAATCCTGTTTTCCTGCCCGGCTTTTTTGCTCAGAAGAGTTTGTGTCTTCCCTTTTTGCTCAAAACAGCATCATTTAATTTTTTTTTCTAAGTGGAGACTCGGTCTTGTGACTCTCACATAGCATTTTAGATAGCTCTATAAGATTCTGAAGACCTAGTTTGCCAAAAAGAAGATGTAACACAGGCACCTACAAAAGGTGCTGCTTTGTGCAGAATAACCACCATTATTCCAGTTCTTTAATATTTCGGGTCATTTATTTTAGAGCTGCATCATTCAGGGGAGAAGGAGGGCCGTTTTTTTTCCCTGTGGATCATTAGAGGCTCCAATAATACAGAAGAGTGTCTTATGTACTGTGAAGCTCCAATATCTCTTGGAATTATTAGTTGTCTTGATCAGAAGAGAATCCTTTCCCCCTTTGCCCAACAATCCATTTGACTAGTGGAAGGGGGGAATTTGGCTACCTTTTGTATTGTGACGTTATTTGTTCTATAGGAACAATTCTTTGCTTGTGACACATTGTGCTTTGTATTGCATAAACTGGTTTGAAGGCTGGCAGCACAGGACTCTTCTTTCTTTTTGAAGTCAAGGTCCTGAATCCTGAAATGTCTTACCTTGCTGGATCAAGACTAAGTCTTTGATAACAATAATACAATCATATATATATAAAACAATTACCTTGCTGGATCAAGACAAAGTCTTCGGCTTTGATCATTTTCTCTCTCTAAACAGTCTTCTTAATGACATTCCTCTCTCTCTCTCTCTCTTCCTTCCCCCCTTCTCCTCCATGGAATAGATTTGAGATAGAAATTGAGCCCATCTTTGGATCCCTGGCACTCTATGATGTGAAAGAGAAGAAAAAGGTACTCCCCCCCCCTCTTTCTGCTCTCCTATTGAGCCTCAGTAGCTGGAGCAATCATTGGTGCTGGGCATCCCTTTTCTTTCAACTAGAACAAGATCTACATTGTAAGACAGACAAAGGGTGAAGCACAGCTGGAGACAAGGGAGGGGGCCTTGCCCTTGAGTGGCAGGTTGGAAAGCTGCCTGAAATTATCAAAGTCTTTTTGATACACACTGGTTTGATAGACAGGGAGAACACTGGGTTTATTCTCCTCTGTATTATGTCGCAGGGGATAGTGACACATACAGAGGGCCCCTTGATGTGGACTCATTTCTTCGCATATAACTGAAGCATTCTGCCCCTTCTTCCCCCCCCAAGAAAAGTGGGGCCTATTTCCAGCTGTCTGAAAGAGTTGGACTTTTCTCCTTCTCTAGACATTATCCTGCCTTCAGGTATTCCTCTTGGGTTCATGCCAGAAAAATGTCCCTTTTAGTTTGGAGTTCTAGAGAAAGCAGGATGGGTCTCCTGAGCCGAGCCCTGAGGGACAGGGAGATCAGGGCATTATATAGGGAGGTGCTACAGTGGGGCCCTCCTCTCCCAAAGGTTATGTTTTGCCTGTTCCCTCTCAGCTCAGGGATATCTGCTGGCTTCAGTGACAACAGGAGGCCTGCTGGTTTCCTTCCCTGTTCCCTTGGTTCCCTGCACTAACTCTTTTTTTTCCCTCCACATTGCTCATGGCCTTTGAGTTTAGTTAGTGTGTTACCAGAAGGATCTAGCAGGTGTCAGTAAGAAGCAGTGCTGCTTCTCCATGTCTGTGTGAACGAACTAATCCACTATCTTATGCAAATAGTGGTGGCAGCAGTAAGCTAGCTTCTAAAACTGTAGCAAACAAGCCTTCTCCAGGAGATGTGATGTGCAAAATTTTCCTTGGTTGGTTGCCTGGTTGTTGTTCTGTTTATGGCTGTGGTGGGGAATAAATTGTGTCAGGTCACATAGAGCGTGTGAACTTTTTTGCTTATTTCTCTCTACTTTTCTAGATCTCCGAAAACTTTTACTTCGATCTCAATTCGGAACACATGAAAGGCCTCCTGCGAGCTCACAGTGCACATCCTGCCATCTCCACTCTGGCTCGTTCAGCTATCTTCTCCCTCACACATCCTTCTCCAGATATCTTCTTGGTGATCAAGGTAAAATCGCCTGGCCCTCCGTTGCATTTCCAGAGCCCAGTATAATAAATACTATGCTGGGATACAGTTCTTTTAGGGGCAAGAAAATACTTTTTTTTCCTGTATATATGTTTGTGTGGTCTGCGTAAACATTCACAAAATGTAAAAAAAGCAAAAGCAAAGCGTGCTGCTTATATACCGCCCCATAGCACTTCAAGCACTCTCTGGGCGGTTTCCAAGTTAATTATGCAGGCTACACATTGCCCCCCCCCCAGCAAGCTGGGTACTCATTTTACCGACCTCGGAAGGATAGAAGGCTGAGTCGACCTTGAGCCGGCTACCTGGGATTGAACCTCAGGTCGTGAGCACAGTTTTAGCTGCAATACAGCGGTATAACCACTGCACCACGAGGCTCAAAATGTAGCATCTTAAGAATCCCGGCTGCCTTTTAAGAAGCATGAAACCAGAAACTGACGTATTAAGAAAGAGGGAAGGGTATTGCGAAGTTGGGAGGATCCCAGTAGTCAGGAGGATTCGGCCTTAGAGTCCTTCTCTGTGCTTCTTTTTGCGCTGGGCAGTTCAGAACAAGCAAATGTGCCAAGGCTTTTGAATGGCACTTGTACGGGCTGAAGTTGGTCTTGTCTTCTCATCGGACTTCTTGTATATTGGTTAATAGAGTCCAATTCTGTGGATAGAGCTCCAATTCTGTGGATAGAGCTCTTCTCAGGTTGCAGACCTCAGGTGCCTGAGCCATGAATGGGAGCATCTCTTGCCAAAACTAGGGGCTGAACATAAGAAAGAGTCCAGAATAGCCTTGGATCAGTTCTGTAGCATCTGCTAGGCTTCCTCTCCAGTAACCAGTTTCTCTTCTACTTGCACAGCTGGAGAAGGTGCTGCAGCAGGGGGACATCGGTGAATGCTGTGAGCCATACATGGTCATGAAGGAAATAGATGCCCTGAAGGTAGATGGAATCAAGGAGGGTTGAAATCATTGTATGTGGGGAGCGGTGGGGGCAGGGGTTGTTGGATTGAGCCTTAGGTCTCAGTTATAGCAGAATTATTCATTTCTTGGGTGATCACCCCTTTCCCCCTCCACCACCCTTGTCAGGAATAGGAATAATGTGCCACACAAGGATATTTTATGTGCAGAAATTATGGAAGTAGTAGTGACATTTCCCCCTTGCGTTTGCAGAACAAGGAGAAACTAGAGAAGCTGAGGGTGGCAGGGGAGCAGTTTTGCACCCGCTTGGGGCGGTACCGCATGCCCTTTGCCTGGACAGCCATTCATCTCATGAATATCATCAACAGTACTGGCCTGCTCGAGAGGGATGCTTCTGAGTCTGAGAGCGGTGGGTGTGATGATGTCTAGCCATGTGCAAAACAAGGAATGTCTGGTTTCCCTTTTGGAAGAATATGCTACCACTTTTTCCAGTGGCACTGATTCTGAAGCACACTTTGGGGACTGAGCGTTACAGGGAATGTGGGCTGCTGAAGGAAAGGAAACGTGTAGTTATAGCCAGAGATCCGGGAAATAGGTTGCAGAGGACATTGTGCTACAAAATCAGAGACAGAATGATTTGTGATTATTATCACACAGTGATAACAGACTTCATTGCTGCCATTAACACATCAGTGGTTTAAAATCAGAGTGGATAAATTCTCTAGAACATTGAGAATTATTTGAAGATTCATGGATGGATCTTGAAAAATGTCTGCTGCAGTTGAACATTTATATAAATGAGTCTGCGGACTGTGTTACAGTCACCATTGTTGTTTTCCTTACTTTTGCAAGGCACGTCACCGTGCCATAGGTGTGAAATAGAAAAGCAGCAATTACAACTGGCCTGGGGCCACACACGAGTCCATAGGGAATCAGCTCTTTTCACTCCTCCTTCTCTTTTGTTGCCTAAGCATAGTCCATGGTTATGCTTAGGTATGCGCACACCTCTCTCTCCTGTTGGACACACCTTCCTCTTTCCTAGACCGCAAAGGCACCTGGAATGAGCGCAAGAGGAAAGCATATGAGCGCATGAGTGTCGGGGAAGAGATATGCAGCTTCAGCAACTTCCGCCCAGCTACTCTCACAGTAACCAACTTCTTCAAGCAGGTAGGGATGAAGGATGCATTTTGCTGAGCTGAATCATTGGCCAAAATTCTGTTCCTTAGAACAGTAAATGGTGCTACTGTAGGCCCACAGAATCAGTAGGGGTTTGGTAAGTCATCTCCTCTATACGTTCCATTGAATTCTGTTCCTTAGAACAGTAAATGGTGCTACTCTAGGCCTGCAGAATCAGTCAACTCCTCTGTACGTTCCATTGAATCAAATGGGCCCACTCTAGTTGTGAGTTACTTTAGCATTGTAAGTGGCAGCTAGAGTAGTCAGTTTAAATCAGTGGAACTGATAGAGGCATTGGCTCACTAAATCCCCACTGATTGAGTGGGCCTACTCTAGTGCAACAGGACTTTGGTCATAACATCATTCTCCTTTGAATTTAATACTTCTTAAGAGGCAGGAAGAGTGTGTCTTTGAGATAAGCAGGTGTATTACCTCTGAGCTGAAGACAGATAGTGTGTATTAGGGTTTACTGCCTTTAACTTCCCCAGTGTTGCTATAGTTCTTAAATGAGATGGGAGGAATGGACTGAAGCTGAATACTTGCTTTTGGTTGGTTGAGCAGTTGTGTTTTTCCTAGGATTATCACGTGGTGATCATGCCGTCTTGCCATGGGAATGCAGCTTGGAAGTATTAGGAAGGCAAGGCACGATGTGAAGAGATGTGCCGCGGTCACCAAAGGATGCACAGAATCTTTGTTTGTATGTTGCCCTCCTGTTCTAATTCAACGAACTTTCCCCGTTTTTCTCTTCTTTGCCCCACTCAACGTGCAGGAAGGTGATCGCCTCAGTGATGAGGACCTTTACAAGTTCCTGGCAGATATGAGACGCCCATCATCTGTTCTTAGGAGGCTCCGACCTGTCACAGGTGAGTTGGGATGTCTTTATGCCAGTCTCGGGTAATTCACTTACACTTTGCGATGGAGTGGGAAGTTCCATAGGAGTAGGAATGTTAGTCTGTTGCAACAAAACCAGCAAAGACACTTGTGGCATACTAAAAGATGAAAGGTTTGGTCTGGGTTTTGATGGATCAAAGCTATTTTGTTAGGAATGTACAATGGTCACACAAAGGTATAAACATATTTATTCTGCAAAGACACAGAAGGTATATTTTTTCAAGATTTTTTTTTAACAAAATGAAGCGAAAACATATTGGCAAGGTGTTTGGCCCTCCCCTCTGCTGTACTAGAAGGGAAGTATAAAAATACTCATTTTGCTGAAAGGTTATGCTCCTGCCACTTGAGGGAGATTGAGACCATACAGCACATGTTCTTCACCTGCCCATTGTATGAAGCAGTGCGAAAGGAGACTATTACCCCATTAATAGATAGAATCCCAGGACGTTCAGAGAGAAATAGGCTTGAATTCCTTCTCTCTAATGTTGATATGCAGATCACCTGTCAAGTTGCAAAATTCTGTGTAGCAATACTTCGATTGCTGCTTAATGACTGTCACTGCAGAGAGAAACCTGCCAAGCCACATGTGTGTGTAGTGAAACTCCTCTGAGGACTTGGATTTTTTTGGCTAAAGCTACTGAAGCTCTAGTTGGGGGAGTTCCTGGTGAATTGTGGTAATTGTAATGGGGGGGAACAAAGAGTCCAATGCCTAATATTCAGTTTTCAGCTTCAGAGTGACTTCTGATGTGAGGGAGATCCGGCTGGAGCAGGAATCCCAGGGGCTCTGTAATTGCCCATCCCACTCTTTAGTCACATTGCCAGTCTTTGTTGTGTTGTTTATGCAAAACCTTCTTACCTGTGTGTCTCTTGTTTCTGCAACACAGCCCAACTCAAGATCGACATTTCACCCGTGCCGGAGAGCCCACATTACTGTCTGTCCCCTGAACTTTTGCATGTCAAACCCTATCCAGACCTCCGTGTCCGACCCACTAAGGAGATCCTTGAGTTCCCAGTCAGGGAGGTCTACACACCTCACACAACATATAGGTGGGTGTATTTCATGTCACAATATAGGATTAAGACTCTGCTGGTGGGCAAAATTGAGAAAATCAGCTCCATTTTGTGGGCTTGGTGGTGCTTGATGGTGCTTAGCTTTCCCCAGCCGAGCTGTGCGTCTTCTGGTCTTCTCCTGCTAAAAATCACCTGTGTATTTTCAAGTGGCTCAAATGAAGGTGAAAAGTGCAAAGTTCTAGATAATGCAGATATAATGCAGGCACACCTAGAAGAGAGGGATCGTTCTCTACTGGAGCACGATGGCATGCAAAACCTTCCATTCCTGACCCAAGTTCATCCTTTCTGTCTGTTTTCTGCTTGTTGCCAACAAGACGTCTCTGTTTATGCAGCAGAGTGGTAGCTTCTTAATAGTGTGTGAAAGGGAACTTTATCTTGATTCATGAAAACCATTTTCTACTGCCTGTCAAGGCATACATGGGTCTGGAGTCCTAACTGCACATAAACATCAAGGGTTCCACGCCAAGGCTTTGGTCTTGACTGTTTACCTGGTGTCATCGTGATCCAGTCCTTTCCCAGCATGTAAAAAGGATGCCGCCGTCTTTAAGGAACCTTTATGGCCATTTCCTTCCAGTGGCTTCTCTCACGGGAGACGAATGGTCTTGCTTCTGTTTCTGGTTATTTTGGTAGCCAAGGCAGAGTTGCAGCACAGGATGCTCATGAACACTGTGCAGTAGATGCTCAAGTCGTAAACGTTGCATCCCGAGAACCATCTCCGGTGCCACAAGTGAGCAGCTTTTGGCCAAAGCCATGTCCTTTCCAGAAGGGTTGCTTCTTTTCCTTGGTTTCAGGAAAGAGCTGCTTGGAGCACTTGCATTTTTCCTCCTGTGAGCAGGGGGGTAGACTTCCTCTTTGGTCTCCATGTTTAGCCATGTCCATCAGGGGAAGGAAAGCCCTCCTTGGTGAAGCTGGGTGGTCTTCCCAGTGTACTCTTGATCCTTATGAGATAACCCTGTGGCTGCCATGGTCAACTCTCTGTAGGAAGGCTGAGGTGATAATAGCTGCCCCGAGGCCAATATGACCTTCCAAGATGAGTGGTTTTCTGCACCAGCGATCACTATCCTCTCTTTCTGCTTGACTTGAGTTTTGTTACATTGTCTCTTGCATTTGGTCTGACAACTGCATGGTTCTTGATCTGAGGAAAAGGGGGGGATAGGTAAGACATGGTTAGGTAGGTAGGCCATGTAACAGACTTCCCTTTCTTAAAGTGCTATGGCCTGTTGATAGGACATGGAAGCATAGACTGGTAAGGCATATGTACATATTTAATATGACGGTGGATGCATCACCCCCATTTGCTAGGGGTCTGGGACAGGTTCCTTCCCTCCCCTTAGACCTCCCAAGTAGTTTCATTTTGGTAGTGACACAGGTGGATAGATGTCTGGAGCAAGAGGTCTGCCTTTGAAGAAGGACCTCCCCCTGCTGCTGCTGCCCACACACTCATTGTATAAACGTCTAAGCACCCTTCCCTGGGAGAACCTCACCCTTTTTGCCTGCCTGTTGTTGGGTCCAGTGCAGCTGTTCCATTTGTTGAACTATTCATTGTTGCTGAGTTGCTTCCATTAGGTTTCAGATGGGGCCATTCTGCTGTTGTATGTGTGTCAGTGGGCAGGTGGGTGGGAGTATATTGGTTAATAGAGGGCATTCCTGCCCCTTGCCAGGAACGTCTGATACACATGGAGGACTCCTGATCTCTGACCTCTGTCCCTGTCCACTCTGAGGTCCCAATAGATTGACCTCCCCAAGCCCTCTTGACTGTCACGACTGTGTTATCTCTTCTGCTTAACCAAGGCTTTTTGTACAGGCAATACAATTAATGTGGCAAATTGGCCTAGCCCAGGAAGGTAATGCGGCAAGTTTCTAATCCTCTGAGTGGGGCCTTTTGGAAGAGATTATGCATTTATCTCTTCTGTTAGCAAGGCTAGCCTAATCGTGCAAAGCTATCACTGTCTTACAGCAACACAGTTTTAAGAACCAGGACGACATAAGGCTGCTTCCCTGCCAGTATTGCCCTTCACACCTAAAATTCTTGGCACCATGAACTGGTGCCTCATAATAATAGTGCCCTGAGCTCTAGCGCACCAAAATCCTCTGGCCAAACCATGCTCGCTCTGTGGGACTCTTTGAGCAGTTATCCAAAGATTTCGAAACTCATGCATTGTATAAACCTTCCAGTCCTGCCAACAGCAACCCTCTGCTGATTGGAGTTGCAGTCGTCACCATCACCTTCTCCTCGCTTTGAAAAAAATCAAGCCAGATCGCAACCAGTTTTAATCTCATAAGCTTATTTTCAGCTTATCCAAATCTCCTATAAGGTGCTGTCCGCTTTAACACCATGAGCAGCAGGGGCAAGGATTAGGTGCGCTAGAGCTCAGGGCACTATTATTATGAAGCACCAATTCATGGTGCCAAGAATTTTAGGTGTGAAGGGCAATACTGGCAGGGAAGCAGCCTTGTGTCTTTAGAGTCCAATTTTGTTTCCTTCACACTCTGTCGGTGATATTTTCTGTCTGATACGGATTAACGTCGCTAAGCGAGGCACCACTGTATAAGCAACCTTAATAGGGCCTTCATGGTAAGTGAAAAATCTAAGGAGGGGTTTTACCAGGTCTACATTTGCCCAGTGAGTTTCCATGCTGAACCAGGATTCAAATCCAGGCCTCCTAAGTCTTAGTCCATTACACAATGACTGTGCCCCACTGGGTATCTTCCTGTAGAGAAGGTTTAATTATCTACAAGGAGATCAGGCCGCAGTAAGGAGGGGCAGATTTCTTTATGAGTATTTGAACCAGTGCCACATACCTTTTAATTCTGCGTTGGTCCTTCTCTGTAGCTGACACAGTTGTGAAGGCACAGGCCATGTTTGAACTAAATGGAGGCCCTCTCTATAACCATACACTAATCAGCCACGACATTAAAACTACTGACAGGTGAAGTGAGTAGCCTTGATTATATCACCTGTCAAGGGATGGGATATATTAGGCAGCAAGGGAAGAGTCAGTTCTTGTGTTGCTGAAAGTCTTACTGGGATCCATGGAAGTATTTTTGAAAGCAATGAGTTGGAAGCAGGAAATGCGGGCAGGCGAAAAGATCTGAGTGACTCCGACAAGGGCCAAATCGCAGTGGCTAGTCAACTGGGTCAGAGCATCTCCAAAACAGCAAGTCTTGTCGGGGTGTACCTGATACGCAGTGTTTGGTACCTGCCAAAAGTGGTGCAAGGAAGGACAGCCAGTGAACTGGCATCAGCGTTGTGGGTGCCCAAGGCATATTGAGGCACGTGGGGAGTAAAGGCTAATTCATCTGGTCCAATCACATGGAAGAGCTACTGTAACTAAAATGGCTGAAAAACTTAACGCTGACCATGATAGAAAGGTGTGAGAACACACAGTGCATCACAATTTGCTGTATATGGGGCTGCGTTGCCACAGACCAGTCAGAATGTCCGTGATGACCCTTGTCCACTGCCAAAAGCACTTTCAGGGAGGATGTGAGCATCAGAATCAGACTATGGAGCAATGGAAGGAGATGAATCAGGTGGATGGCTAGGTGGACATGCATCATTCACCCGGGAAGAGATGGTAGCAGGATAACACCACGCCAGATTCCACAGGACGCATTCAGAGTCCATGTGGAGTCCATGCCATCAGAGCTGTTTTGTCAGCAGAGGGGAGATCTGCACAATATTAGGGAGGTAGTTTTAATGTTGTGGCTGATCCTTGTACACATTTACTATAGATAAGCATAGAGTCCACACATATTGAGGCACTAGTTTGAGACTCATAGGGATCTTAGAGACTAGTTCTGTGAACAGTATAGAGCAGGAGAGTAAAATATACAAGCCAGAGCACCATACTGCCCCCCCCACATACACACCAATTCTCCATCACCAGGGAAAAAATAGAAATGGAAAAGCTTGCCTCCAGAGGCCTCCAGGATGTACAAGTCCCAAATAAATCACTGTGTTGGTTCTCTCCTGAAAAGAAACTCCCGAAAAATGAAGTGACCAGAACATCGTTTTGTGGTTTTGAGAAAGTTACAGGGTACGACCTACCAGAGGCCTCCATCCTGGAGGCCTCTGGAGGCAAGCTTTTCCAGGGGTGAACCCCAGGTCCTCCCCAAGCCTGACACAAAGGGACTTAGGTAGGAGACTTAAGATGCCCCGTTGCAGAGCATCCCGCGCAGAGCAAAAAGGTGGCAAGTTACCTTCAGAGCAGCCAGTCCCTGTTTCCTGTTTTGCAAACTTTGTTTCTCCACAATATCCATCATCGCTTGCAGTGCCTTCATGCGTTGCCCCAGGTGCCGATGGTCCGCAAGCAACGTCTGCAGGCCTTTCTCGCCGCCCTGAGCCTCTTGCCTCAGCTGTACATCCTCAGCCTGTTAGGGAAAGAGCAGAGGTGGGAAGGGAAGACAGGCCAAAGGGGATGCCTACAGGGGTGGCGGCCCTTGGGATTGGGAATCTTACAGTAGGCAGCAGGTTGCAGGATTGTGGGGTCAGGTGTGGACCCAGAGTAAAGCCCCTGGTGCTCTGCTGACAGTGCTGGAAAGTTGCCTTTGGAAAGGTATCCTCGCTCTTTTTCTCTAAGAGTCTGATAGTCATTTAGATGCTTTTTAGTAATGAAATGCTGTAAAATGTGAAACAAAAGCACTCTCGAAATGTTCCCTAAAAGCAGTGTCACAGGCACCCTGTGGTGAATAAAAGCAACACTAAAAGTGTTCATTTTACACACATACCAAACAAGGTTAGCTGCTCTTATGTCAGTTTTAACTTAAAAAGTAACCCAATAAATTATGCATTTTAGACAAGATCATTCCTTGCTAGGTGTTGTGTAGAGATGGACACGAACCACCCGTTCAGCGGTTCTGCCTGGTTCGTTTACCACCGGTACAGGTGTTTGGTGGTTCAGTGTCCCGCCCCCCCTCCAGCAGACGCCCACTTGGAAGCAGTGTCTCAGTTTCCCTGCCCTGCCTCCTCCTTTACCTCTTGTAGTGGCAAACCAGGCAGTTCATGCTCATCTCTAGCGTTGAGACCGATTTTCATACCAAGATCCAGTCTGCAAAACCTGGGCTCCTGTAACTGCTGATGGCTAGCATAACACTTTTAAATCCTGCTGCCCACCCTCCATTTTAGAGTTTAAACATGGTTACCTTCAGCCTCTCTACAAGTCCTCTGATCTCCTTCTGGCCCTGCCGGGCATTTTCAGTCTGGTGATGCAGCCCCCTCAGACCCTGTTCATAGATGCCAGCCTTATGCCTGATTCTGTCAAGCTTCTGTGTTGTGGAGTCATAGAAGTCGCGCAGCGCCTCACTGAACTGCAGTACGCCATAGACTAGGATGTTCACGTCCTCTTGCTGAGCCACCTGCCCAGGACCTGTGAGGATCGGGGCAGGCATAGCCACAGGAGGCAGTAAGATGCTCAGGAGCAATATGAAGGTCGGCATGGCTGTATTTCAACCCAGGCTTTAAAAAAAACACCAAAATGTCCAGTCTGTGCCTTTTATAAACGGAGTGGGAGGGATGAGTGGCATTAGCCCCGAGAGATCTACTGAGCAGCCCCGCCTCCAGGTGGTGATGAGACAACAATGCTTTAAATGTTGGTTCTTGTCTCAGCACTGGCTTTTTCCATGGTTGGGGCACAAAGTTCCCGACCCAGGGACAGCCAGGTTGCACAAGGCTGGCAGGTGAGAGCCAGTTGCAACAGAGATGCTCCGTCTCCCGAAAGTTGGCTTGGGGTCATTTGGGATCTGGCCTGTCAGACATCTCCAGAAACTGCCAGGCTGTGTGTGTGTGGGTAACGAGAGGGCAGCGGTGTGGGTGTCCTGCTGAAACGCTAAGTGCGTTTATTCTGGCTGGGCAAGTGTGGGGCGATGTTACATAATCCACTCTCCCCTTGCAGCAGGTGACATGGAGGTCTTGCGTGATACAAGGATCAGGGCTCCAAAGGTCCCTTCCCCCCCCCCGCCTCTACCTTTTTTGCTTTGTCTCGGTCATGTTGGTGTATTATTCCACCTGTGCTCCCACCACCAAAATGACAACCAGCCCCTCTCTTTTACTATAAATGCTACTTGAGATCTGATCAAGTGATATGGAACGCCTTAGGCAGCTTCAGTCATGCAGAAAAGGGAAATACCACCAGGCTCAAAAATTAGCAGATATTCAGAACTACAGTGGTGCCTCGCTTAACGAGCGCCTCGCTGGAGCATTCGCTCAGCGATGGCCCCTATGGGGATTTTTCGCTTTGCGATATTCACTAAGCGTTTTGCTTAGCGAATATCGCATAACGAAGCCGGGAGAACAGCTGATCGGCGGTTCCAAAATGGCCGCCGGAAGGTCCGCCCCGCATTTTCGCGCCCTGCCCTCGCTTACCCAGGGCGAAAATGGCGGCGCTATGGGACAACATCGCTTAACAGTGAGTTTTAAAGCCATAGGAACGCATTGAACAAAGTTCAATGCGTTTCTATGGCTTTTTTATTCCCGTTTAGCGATGTTTTCGCATAGCGAAGGTTAATCCGGAACGGATTAACCTCGCTATGCGAGGCACCACTGTACTTTTTTTTTGGGGGGGGGACCATTTGGGAAATTGCAAAATGGCCCAGGAAGGACTGAATACACTCTTAAGTGGTTTAGAAATATTAAGCGTTTGATGAGGTGGGGAAGAAAACTAAAGGAAAGAGGGCTAATGGGATGGGGGTTATCTTAGAAAATGGCAAGGTTGCCTGGCTGGAACATGGAATGGAGCCTTCTGCCCCATAACATTGTTCAAGCTGATCTGTGAGACCTGCCCTGAACCCATCCTGGTAATTATTTTCCTAATTCTTCCACTGTGGGTGACCAATTAGCAGTGGATTCCAAGCCGGGATACATGGATTCCCTTCCACTCCCAAAAAGAAAAGGCACTCCACCTGTCCCATCACTTTTGGGTTTGCAGACACATGCATACACATGTTTGTCTAATATCCACAGCTGTAAAGGTTTTCCTTCTTGTGTAGGAACCTACTCTACGTTTATCCCCAAAGCCTGAACTTCAGCAGCCGCCAAGGTTCAGTGAGGAACATTGCTGTGAAACTCCAGTTCATGGCGGGAGAGGACCCTAGCCACGCCATGCCGGTGAGTGAGGCGTGCGCTCTCCTGCTTGTGGATTGCGCTGGCTGTGTGGATGGATCCAAAGGGGAACGGTGGGACAAGAAGGGCAAATCTGGGACAGGGAGTTGTTAGGCCTCCAGACCTTGTCTTTCCTGAAAAGTTTGAGCTTTCTCTGTTTCAAGAGGTTCCGTTTCTTTACTGACACAGTGAGTAAACAGTGGGTGGGGTGTGTTTGTCACAGTTTCTATCCTGTGAACCATTCTTCCTTTTGGCCAAGTTCCTAGCCCTAACCCCATGTTAACAGCATGTGATGTAGGTGCCTTGGTGGCAGATTTAATGCTCAACTAAATCCAGAGGTCTTCTGCAGGCTGGCTGATGGCGCTGTTGTCACCGTCATGGCTTAACAGTATTTCAGAGGGATTCATGTAAAAGAATAGATGTCCTGTTGGTACTCTTTGGACTCATGATCTACAGAAAATGAAATTGAATACGACGGGGGAGGGGGAGAGGGGACGTCCTTATGGATCTCCTCCACTTCTTGAGGCAAGTGCCAGCGTGGAAGGCATCCAGATACACCTGGTCTGATTTTGTAAGCAAATATTGACAATTGCATACAGTAGCTTTTTCTGGGTGCCTTATTTCCTGGCATGTCTCTCGGCCTCCTGCCCTGTGGCTGGCTGGACTCCATTCATTCTCTCTGTCTCTGACCAATGCTCTTCTGTCTTGCCTAGGTGATCTTTGGAAAATCAAGTTGCAGTGAGTTTACAAAAGAGGCCTATACATCGGTTGTATATCATAACAAGTGAGTGTAAAACAACTGTGCTGGGGTGGCGGCATAAGGCTGCCAGTGGAGGTAACCACTGGCTGGTCATTCACAAAATACCATTTCTCTGGATAAGGAGGATTATCCACATCTAACTTTCTCAGTAAAATGTCACCGATCCCCTATGATGGGGTGTGTTTGTTTGTTTGTTTGTTTATTCATGACAGTGATGGTCCCCGAGTGAATTAGAAACTACATGAATTGCAGCCCGTACCAGTTATCATTAGGAAGGACACACATGTCTGGTAGGGTTGGGGCTTTTGCCTGCTCACAGCTCCTTCCTGGCAGGTGGCTGCAACACCTTCTGCCTTTTGCACAGGTCCCCTGAATTCTACGAGGAATTCAAGTTGAAGATCCCAGCCAACCTTACCGACAACCACCACCTGCTCTTCACCTTTTACCATATCAGCTGCCAGCAGAAGCAGAACACGCCACTGGAGACTCCAGTTGGCTACACGGTGAGCCCTTCAGAGAACGGGAGAAGGTCCATGGCATGGGAAGAAGGAAAGTGTGTCTTATTTTCTACAGAATGGCCCTTGTTCCCACTCGCATGCTCTCCAAGGAAAGAGGGTCCCTCGTCACAGGACTGGGGGATTTCTTTGTCTTGAAACTTTGCAGAGCAACTGCAGTGCGAGAGATTTCTGTGCTAGACATATCTGAGGCCCAGTACAGTATTGGATGCTACATTTGGGTTGTGTGGGTTTTCCAGTTCAGCTGATGGATCCTGACCGATGGTCAGTGTTGCTTTTTTTGGAGCTTGCCAATGAATATTGCAGACAGAAAGGTGGGTTAAGAATGGCAATTTGTTATTTTCTGCAACTATGACTTGTTCCTCTGTCATGTGGAGCAGGAAGGACAAGTGAAAACATGACATTCTCTCTCTCTCTCTCTCTCTCTCTCTAGTGGATCCCCCTCATGCAACATGGGCGGCTACGGACAGGCCAGTTTTGCTTGCCTGTGTCAGTTGACAAGCCTCCACCCAGCTATTCCGTACTCACCCCTGATGTAAGTCATGACTGTTGTGTGGTTTTATGCAGCTTGGTGAATGCAGAGTCCCCCTAGAGAGCCCCTCCTTGCTTGTTCTGTATGGAGAAAAAACACTCCCTTTCTCCTCCCTGCCAACCCTCCTTCCATGTTTCCTGTCACACTCTCTGCAGCAGGAGTGCTTCTAATGCAAGAGTGTCTGTTTTATGTTTGTAAAGCTATTTAGCCTTTCTCTTCTGCAGAGGGTGGCTAAAATATGCAAACGAAACGCCATTTTTTTTCCTCTGAGTTGTACATCTCCTGAACTTTAGTTTACCTCTTAAAGAAAGTACATGGAAGCCGCAGGAGGGGTTGAAAATAAGAAAATGAAGTCCATGAAAATGAAATCTGTATACGCAATATATGTATGTTGTAGAAAGGAGCAGTAGTGTGAATACACTTTCACTTTTATGATGAGTTTTTAAAGGGTTGGGGTTTTTTGTGTGTGTAAAACTAAAATAAAAAAATCACAGACCTCACAAAAACCAGATTGTTGTATTACTACTGAGAGACATGGTCAAGGCCATAACCTGAATCGACCGGATGTTTATTTTTATTATGACAAGTGGACGTCTTCACTGCATTAACAATGAGATAAACCGTATGTCTTGTTAGGTTTCTTAGCAGTGGCATCTCTGATGGTGCAGTTCCAACCCCCACCCCAGCATTCTGTTCTTTCACTTGCCTCTTACTTCAGGAAGAGTTGCCAGGGTGTACAAGAAATGAAAAGCGATCTCCTCTTCACATCCCCTTCACTAATGGGCCACATACAAAGAGGTCACTTCTGGCTTTTCTTGGGGCCTGACAATAGTGAGGACAACACATTGTAGTTGACTTATGGGCTGTAGTACATAATAATGGCATAGAAAGAGGCCCGTCTTACCCTATCAGCAGTGTTTCAAAAGGATTAGATTAATTAGCTGTCCTTCTGCATAGTTTAGAATCACTCTGGGATGAGTTTTCTACTGCATGTGAAATAGATTTACATGCACTATAGACTCAGTGCTTCATCCTCCTTTGAGATTATTAATGCTTAGTATTTTAATTTAATTTAATCCCACTTTTCTTCTTTGGTATGGACCCAAGGTGGCATACAAAAAATTTAAAATCAAGAATTAATTGTTTCCCATTGTTTGCAGTGTCCTTTCGTGCTGTCAGACATGTTTTTTACAATCTGTTCCCATCTGATTTAGAAACCTGAGTTACGCACCAAGAAAACATGTACATGAGTACTGTCCTTACTTCCTTCTTTCAAAGCAGAGAGTTACTTCGCAGCTAGCTTGGCAAAATTAGGGCCTCCGTGGCAACCTGATCAAGCTTGTTGGGGAAGGGGATCTGCAGGGATCAGTGTCCCTTCCTCCTTGGGAATTGTCTGCCCTTTCCTCCAGCGCAGGTCTGGGCAAAATTAAGATATTGAGATGTTACTGGGCTGCAACTCTCATTAGTTGCAGCTAGCATGGCCAGTGTTAGGGAATGCTGGGAATTACAATCAGACAGCATTTGAATAGCCACACTTTGCCCACCCTTGCTCTGTGGGGACTGTGTGCGTTTCTCCTAACGAAAAGAATGGATGATGGTGATTAGCTTTGACCAGAGTAAGGAACTGGCTTTTTAACTCCCAAAAGGATTTTGTAGGGTTGCTCTCATAGCAGCCCAGTTTCTTCCTACCACTCTTCTGCAGGTACAGCTGCCTGGTATGAAGTGGGTGGATAATCACAAGGGTGTCTTCAATGTGGAGGTGCTGGCAGTGTCTTCAGTCCACACTCAGGTGAGTGGAGAAGAGGAAGGTGGTGCTAAGAGGTGGTGTCATTTTCCACAGTTTACTTGGAATGTTGCTCCTGCATTAGCTGTGCTGTCTGCAAGTCTGGGAAAGGAAGCTTCTAGGCATACTGTTGGTGCAAACCCCCTTTATTTTCGTGCTTTGGAAGTGCACACAGAGTATTCCCCCGAGCCCTAAATCAATCCTTTTTCGGTAAATCAAAGAGTTCCCCTTTGAGAAAATGGAAGATTTTATGGATTCTGCTAAGCAGCAAATGATGGGAAACTGTGTTTCTGAATGTCCCATCTCTCTGGAGCCTTGGACACTGGTCTGGATTCACTTTTGATAATGTCTCGTAGAAAAATTCCTGCATGGAAGTCCTGAGAGAAGAGATCAGCTCCTGTTCTTCTGTTTAGACTTGCACCAGTTTTCCCTGTCCTAGTCTCCCCACTGTTAAAAATAGAATAGTGAAGCTAAGCAGATGAGAGTTGCTTAAAACTCATGCCCCTGACAGCTCATCCTTTGTTCTGGCAGGACCCATTTCTGGATAAATTCTTCACCTTGATCCATGTGCTGGAAGAATATACCTTTCCCTTTCGGCTAAAAGATGTGATCTTAACAGAGAACAACATGGAGTCTGAGTTGAAATCTAGTGTGGGCAACCTACGGGTGGCTAGTCTGGAGGCCCTCGTTGCCTTTAGCCACCAGATCCTCAACAAGTTGATCCAGCTCATTGTGTACCCTCCTGTCATCGCCGGGCAGATTGGTGAGTAACATAGCCATTGTCCTATCCTGTCACTATGCTGTGGTTTCGGTTGCTTCTGCCCCTCCCCTTCCATTGTTGGGTTCTTTTGGCATCTGGGCTAATTCACAGAGTGTTTCCAAAGCCTGGAACCTCAGCACCCTCACAATTTCAAAAATGTAGCTTGGAAAAGCCACTGTTTCCTACTACAGTGGTGCCTCGCTTAGCGATTGCTCTGTTGAGCGACAAAATCGCCTAGCGATGGAGTTTTTGCGATCACAAAAGCGATCGCTTTGCAATGGTCCCTATGGGGTTTTTTCGCTTTGCGATGATCGCGGGGAAGCGATCATGGGAAAGCGACCCTTTTTTAACAGCTGATCGGTGGTTTCAAAATGGCCACCGGGAAAACAAAACGGCCGCCCGCTGTGTTTCCTTGCTTTAGAAAATGGCCGCCCCTATGGAGGGTCTGCACTTAAAGGTTAGTTTTTAGCCCAGAGGAACGCATTAATCGCATTTTAATGCATTTCTATGGGCTTTTTAATATCGCTTAGCGATGAAATCGCTTAGCAACGTTTTTTTCTGGAACGGATTAACGTCGCTAAGCGAGGCACCACTGTACTCTCCCACGTTCTGGCCATTCTGCATGACCAGAGGCATAAAAGACACCTATTGTCACATCAGATGGGGTGCAGGAACATTGGTCTTCCTGGGGTTGAACTTGGAAACATTTTCGTCAGCAGTCTCTTCATGTGTCTTTGGATGAATCGGGTGGGAGAAGAAATGGAGGTTAAAGAAAAGCCTCCATCTCCTTTTCCTGGATATTTCTGTTAATACATCTTACTATTACATGAATTTCCAAGACTACTCAGTTGCCGTTTAGTTTTGAATGGAAGCTGGTTTTCCCCTTGCACTGTTTTATCCCATCTCCTACTGTTTACATGGCTTCGTGGGTTAAAGCAGGTTCAGACTTCTATTTCATTGGGCTTGCAGTGAACTTGGGCCGTGCTGCCTTTGAAGCCATGGCTGTGATGGTGAACCAGATCCACAAGAGCCTGGAGAGCAATCAAGACCAACATGGCCACAACCAGCTGCTGGCCTCTTACATCTTCTATGTTTTCCGTCTGCCTGTGGCAGAGCCGGGCTTGCCAGGTAGATGTCTGGTGTTGTGTGGGAGAGGGAGAGAACAGATCCCTGGTCTTCTTTCATAATCAGCTGTGTGCCATTTTCCCCAGTCTACAGTTCTGAAGCTGCATGTTTTTCATAGGAGTTCGAATGAGGGGTTATCTCCACAGCATTTGCTCCTTTTACTAATGGCTGTCTGTCTCTTTATCAGTAATGAACTAATTTGACAGACATTCTGAAGTCCTGGCACTTCCATAGTAAGGTTTTCCTTTAACCACCCACTAAAAACCAGCTGATTAAAAGCAAAATAGATTGTAGACAGAGAACTTGTTACTTACATGAATTTCTGGGATGGGATGTCCATAGCGCCTGACTACTTTTGAGGTGTTGTCACAACATGGTTAAAAACTTGAGTTTGGAAAATGAACTGACTCTTTTAGATTAGGTGAAGATAAGGTAGCAATCATGGATTGCTGCCTTGTCATGGCGAAGGGGCTTGAGTAACTCAGAGAAGCTATGGGCTATGCCGTGCAGGGACACCAAAGACGGACAGGACATAGTGGAGAGTTCCAACTAAACGTAATCCACCTGGAGTAGGAACTGGCAGTGCCACTCCAGTATCTTTGCCAAGAACGCCCCATGATCAGAAACAAAAGGATAAAAGATATGACGCTGGAAGATGGGCCCCTCAGGTCGAAAGACGTCCAACATGCTACTGAGGAAGAGCAGAGGACAAGTACAAGTAGCTCCAGAGCTAATGAAGTGGTTGGGCCAAAGCCGAAAGGACGCTCAGCTGTGGACGTGCCTGGAAGTGAAAGGAAAGTCCGATGCTGCAAAGAAAAATACTGCATAGGAACCTGGAATGTAAGATCTATGAACCTTGGGAAGCTGGATGTGGTCAAACAGGAGATGGCAAGAATAAACATCGACATCCTGGGCATCAGTGAACTAAAATGGACGGGAATGGGCGAATTCAGCTCAGATGATTATCATATCTACGTACTATTGTGGGCAAGAATCCCATAGAAGGAATGGAGTAGCCTTCATAGTCAACAAAAGAGTAGGAAAAGCTGTAATGGGATATAATCTCAAAAATGATAGAATGATTTCATTACGAATCCAACGCAGACCTTTCAACATCATAATCCAAGTTTATGCACCAACCACCAATGCTGACGAGACTGAAATTGACCAATTTTATGAAGACTTACAACACCTTCTAGAACTGACACCAAAGAAAGATGTTCTTGTCATTGTAGGGGACTGGAATGCTAAAGCAGGGAGTCAAGAGATAAAAGGAACAACAGGAAAGTTTGGTCTTTTCAAAATGAAGCAGGGCAACGGCTAATAGAGTTTTGTCAAGGGAACAAGCTGGTCATCAAAAACACTCTTTTCCAACAACAGAAGAGGCAGCTCTACACGTGGAAATCACCAGATGGGCAATACCGAAATCAGATTGATTATATTCTCTGCAGCCAAAGATGGAGAA